GCTGATCTAACGAATGAACAACTTCAGACCTAACTGATCCTCGTTTAGGTGAAACACGAGTACCTTCATAAAATATTTTACTGAATCAATTCCTTAACCAATTCTCAAATAAATAATCCAAATACTAAAATACTAAGCCTTTTTGGGTTCACATGCTTGATTCGGGGATTTTGGGTCAGAATTTGACAAAACGGACTTCGGAATCAGATTCAGGACGTCGAAAAACATAAAGTATGACCTTCTGAAATTCTGAATTCTAGGTCAAAATCAAAGTCAACGGGTTTGACTAACGATTCGAAGACTTTCAGGTTTGAATTTTGTGAAACATGCCCCAAAAACGAATTCGGGACGTCAAAAATGTCAAGATAAGTATTATCGAAAAAGATTAACGGTTGTTTAATAGCCGGTCAAAGTTCTGGTCAAAAGTGGTCAACCATTTTACGAAATTAATATTTTTTCAAAATTACAAAAATAGCACCATTTTAAAATTAATTACCAATATAGCATTATTTTCAAAATATTTACTAAAATGTGATTTTTCAAAAATTATGAAAATAACATTTTTTTAAAAAAATTACAAAAATAACGCCCTTTTCGAATTAATTCCCAATATGTCACCAGTTTCAAAATAATTACTAAAATGTCACTCGATCACGGTCAACGGGTCGGGTCGGGTCAAAACCGGTCAAACCGGTCAACCATTGAAAATAACCGGTCAAACCGGCCATTTTGAGCTTCCCCACGCGCAGTGGCGACATGTTGGGGCGAGTGGGATCGTTTCTAACAGCGTAAAATTCACGGAAAATTTCTAAAAATTATTTTGAGCGATTTCGAGATACTTACAAAGATCGGTTCAAATTTTTAAACGGCGGAGAGCTCGATTTCATCAAATCGGAAACTTTGACCGCTTCACCTCCCCACGCGCCACTGTCGACGGAGACCGAGGATGACACCGGCGGACTCAGAACGACACAAGGAACACGATGGTGCGGGAGGTGTCGTAAATGGAGCAACGATCGCGATGAATTTAAGATTTTCTCGACGATTGAGCTAAAAAAAACGTCGAGACTTTGATTGGAAATTCTTGGCGTTTGGCAGCGTTTCGCTTCAAATAATTTAAGTGGTTTGTTCCTCGCTCGATGATGAACACGATGGGGGTTTCAAAACGACGATCGGAATTCAGACGGCGTCAGGATCGTTGTCGGAAGTTGACGTTGGGGAAGGAAGTTTAGGCTCAATTTAGGAGCAATTGGTTTCAGAAACCAATTGCCGTATATAATACCAAACTTCACCAATTTTTTTAGGTAAATTCAGGGCTTGGTCCTGAATTTTCTTTAACTCTAAAACAAGCTACAAATTTTTATAATCTTTTAATTTAGTCCCCAAATTTCACCAAATTACTTAATTAAAACCTCAAATTACAATTATATTTTTTTTCAAATTTCCGGGTTGTTACAGCACCGGTTGCGGTGGATACGCTGCCTGTGTCGGCTGCTGGTTCAGCATGTTAGGGTAGGTTGGATTCGGATTGTACTGCATGTTTTGAGGTGGGTATGGCGCGGGCGACTACGGTAGAGGATAGGCTTGTTTAGGTTGTTGTGGTAGCTGTAGCTGTGCAGGTGATTGATACTGTGGTGGTTGCAGCTGCTGCTACAACGGAAGCTGTGGTTGCTGAGTTTGGGGATCCGTTCCAGGTGTGCTCATTTCGTACTGCAACCCTTGTTCATTGTGGTTCTGATAAGCCGGTGAATATTCCTCGGTTGTATTTGTAGTTATTTCGAGGTTTGGGTCATATTCTTGAGGGTAAAACTCGTACTCCGTCTGTGCTTGAAGAGTTTCAGAGTCTGTATCAGAGCGTCCAATGCCTCCTCCTCTCGCTAGTATCTTCCTTTGTGAGATAAAAGATGAAAGCAAAACAAGCTCTTATGGTTATTTATAACAATCCAAGCTTCTTAATATAAATGGAAACAAAAAATGAAGCCCAATGCCAGCTAAAGTCCAAAACTACGAAGCATCGAATTTTGAATATAATGTATAGTTAAGAAATTGTGCAATGTATATAGTTAGGAAAGTTGCAACAATTATAGTTGACTGTGGGGGGAGATGAGTATGAAGCCATGAGAGGAGGAATTAAACAATTATAGTTGACCTGGAGAGTTTTGATTCTAGGAAAGCTCATTTGAGTTGTTTATAATTTATTTAACAAAGTCTACTCCGACGTGAGAGATGGGTTGGAATGATCGGACGGTTTTCCATTAACTGTTGTGTAATCACCATTTTCACCTTGATAGCAGCCCTTCCACGTTGTAGCTCCACCTGACGGTTCCAGCAGCTTCCAAAGAAACACCAGTTGTCCCTCCACAACAGCAGTGTTCCATTAGTTTCCATCACCTCACCAGTTGTCCCTCCACACCGACAGTAACCCGTGGTTGCCCTTTTGTCAATGACATTGCCAATAACAACCACCCAGCTGGTTTCCTCTCCCGCCAGCAATGCAAGGTTCTAGATCAAATCATCACAAAAAAATCAGATTTTTATGTAATAAAGGTTAATCTATAAAACCCAAGAGTATTGTAATCTTTTGAGAGGACCCCGATCCAAAATAGAACAAAAAAAATTGTAATAGGATTTTTTTCTCTAATTCTTCAAAGCAGCAATACAACGGCAGAAATTACATTTCTCAGGTTTCCTCTTTGAATCTGTTATTATTATTATTATTATTATTATTATTATTATTATTATTATTATTATTATTATTATATTTTATTTTTCAAACTAGAGTAGCAGTATTAAAAAAAACGAACAGGGATTCGAAATAATAAAAAAATAAGAAAAAGGAAGAGGAGTGAGAGTTTACCTTCAATGGTTACCTCGCCGAGCCTCGGATCAATGGATGGTATAATTTGGGGTTGAGTGGCCGAAAGATAGTAGTATAGTTTGGGGTTCTTTTTTATTTTTTTTTGATTTAAAGAGAGATAGGGGCTGGGTTGTCGTTTGGTTTCCGTTGAATGAAAGAATGTATCCGGTCAGAGCGTAACGACCACCAAATCGGTGGCCAGCGTTGGTGAGCTCTTTCTGTTTAAGCTACGCCAAAATGAGGATGAGAAAAGAGAGAAGAGGAAAGGGCTGGAGAGATAGTGTGAACACAGGGAAGGGGGTATTGTTTTAGGAATATATTAAAGTTTGGGTTATATCCCCTCAAGCCCCTCTAGTTTAGTTGCATATTTTCATTTGGATGATTAATTTTGGAGTAATCACCCTTTTAGTCCTTCTTTACCACGTTTTGTATATAGATGTATGTGTTATAAAATATATATACGTATTATATAAGTGTTTATAACACTTTTATAAATATTGTGCAATCTATATAATATAAATAGTGTTATATATATAGGAATATTAAATATATGTTATACGTATGTTAATATACATATGTACATGCTTAAATATGTTGGTTTTTCTTTCATTTTTCTATGAATTTATATATTAGAAAGTTTACATTTTATTTTAAATGATATGCCTTTAATTTGATTTTTCATTTTATTTTATTTGTCTATAGTAAATACTTTCCCATATGTATATATATATATATATATATATATAATAATATAAATTATTTTAATCATGTTTTAATATTTATTTATTTTTCAATATTAAGAAAAGACAGTCTTAATGCGACTAGATGTTCTATTCAAATGTTTTAAAAATAAATAAATATTATTTATAAAAATATAAAATTATATTTTCTTAAAAATTACTAATAAATTTAAAATAATAGGATTATAAATTAAATATATTGTTGAATTCTTAAATTTCCAATAATAGAGACAACTTATAATTAATAAGTATCAATTTTGGACGCAATAGGGGTGCTAATCCTTCCCTAAACGTAACCGACCACGAACCCTTTTTATTATTAAAAAGAATAAATTTTTGGTTATACGCAAGATCAGTTTATCTTTTAAATTATGTTTTCTTAAAAACTATTTTAAAAGATTATTTTTTGGTATTTGACCTACATAACCCAAAAAGGTCAATGGCGACTCCCAAAATATTTTTTAAATCAAAATCATTTATTTATTCATTTTATTTTTCCTGCCAAGAAAAAAATTCGTACTCGAACGAAAACCGGTTACGACAGTTGCACACAAGCGGTAGACTTTCAAACGTCCCATTCTCGTATACAACGGAACGCCTCGCAGTAGATTAGATCCAAACCTAACACACACCGACCCAAACAATCAAGCCCAACTCTACCCCTATCCGCATCCAATAGTAATAAAACCCGGTTTCAAAACACGTCCAACATTCAACCTGCCCTCTCTGTAGTATCAAACCAACCATCCAACATTCACGAGCTGCTCACTCCCACCTTCAAACATTAGTAACCCTAGACATGGGTTCTCAGACAATTAATTCATAAACCAATAATATATAAACAGTTAATTCTGATTGTTTGCAACACTAGTCAATTAGCAACCTGGTAGAATGGCCTCCTTGCAAATGCATGTTTAAGATGTGGAACTTGGTACGGTTTGCAGACATCTGTGGACTGTGAGAGTGACGATCTCCACGTATATCACCACTTGCTGGAGCCTGCCATTTCAGTCTACCACCATCTGTAGCCACGTTTGCTTTGAATCAAACCTTCCAATGCAATCTTATCCATTACCATATGTTGTACAAAAAGTAGAGCCTGTCACGTGAAGGATCCCTACGTTGACTCATCTAACCACCTCACCATGTGTTCTTGCACGTGTTTCAAATTTACCAGCTGGAGTAAATTGTAAGTTTAACTAAACCTTGTGTGAACGGATAATAGATTTTAAAATTTAATTATGTAATAATACGTGGGGGGGGGGGGAATACAAAACTTTACTTCTAAATAATCAATGAAAATCCTTGACGTGGAATCTCCTCCTCCACCTTTGAAGTGGACCTCCTCCAACTGAAAAAACAGGGGCGCGAGCGTGCTGGATATTAATTAACCGACCTTCTTTTTTACTCCAAGTATCGCCGTTGTGAAAATACACAAGGAAGAAGAAACAATCCCTACATTTCTCTTATCCATTCTCTCTCTTCTTCTTCTTCTTTTCTGGATTTACCCCTTCGCTGTCTCTATCCGGTTCAGAAATTCAACGCAAATCAGGTTCTTCGATCCTTTTTCGTAGTTCTGGAAATCGAGAGATCGAATTTTTTGAAAGGAAGGGGAAAACTTGAACGAAGAGTAGTATTATGCGGCGATTCGTGGACAACGCCCTCGCCGTTACCAAAGAGTGAGTTTTTCTCATTTTTAAATTTCCATATATTTATGCGCATGTCGGTATATGCACGTCTCGGATCGTTTTTCTGATTTTATTTTTTTTGTAATGTCTTTGGATTTTTTTGGAGCTTTTTTTTATTGATTCGAAAATTTTCAGGGAACGTCTTTAAGATTTTATTGACAATGTTTTTAGAGAGAAGTAGTTGGGAGCTTTTATTAGCTGAATCAAGTTCAAGAAAAGGGGGAAAATTCATTTCTTGAACCTCTGGGTTGATGATTCGTTTGCATTTTGCTATTAGTTCTCTGTTTTTAGTTCATATATATTCGTTTTACTTTCTATTGAAAAGGAAAATGAAAAAAATGCCCACCCAATAGAACGTAAGTGTTTTCATTAGATTGAAGTATGAGTAGAGAATGCGTTCTTTTTGCAGGTCAGTAAAGACTTTTACGTATGAGTCTTTGAACAATATTGCGAGGTTGATAAATGGAGTGTCGGCACTTTTATTGGCCATTCTTGTCGGAAAGGCAAATAGTCTTGATGGTGCTCAAGGATGGGAGCTTAGGCCCACTTTTCATGGACCTCGATTTCCACGGTGGATGAGAAGTCTGTATTTTTTTCCTTCGATGTGAGAAAAAAATTGCTCGAGTATCATGGACTATGTTTTTATTTTGCATTACCCACTTGTAAACTTAAGTAAAACCTTTTGCCAGAGTGGTTTAATTCATTAACATCATCATTTAAGTTCATAGTTTCATTCTTAGATTTGTCTGTCTTTGATCTCTGTTGAGTAATTATTGGAGCACTAAAAGATTAAATGGAAGAGATCAAACAAGTTCTGCTGATTTTTCTTGTCAAGATATTCTGCTGGAGAAGTCTAGCGTTGCTTGCTGACATTTGTGTGTTCTTACATCATAGGTTCAATGTACCACCGTAGAGCCTCTCTTAATTGGCTTCTTAAAATGGTTTTGAATATAAATTTATGACTATTTGTTAATAATATGCCTAGAAATTTGCATATGGAAGCTTTTATTAAACTCAGATTTGTTGCACCACTTGGTTTCTTTGATGTTACTATCTGCAAAAGAATCCAAAGTAATAGTACTGCTGCATGCAAAAAAAAAAGCCATAGTAATTTTTTCCTCTTTTTTGGTAAAAGCAAATGTAATTTTGTTTTTACTTGACATATTTTTCTACTTTCATCTAAAATCTCTCCTCTTTGCCTCAATCCACACATAGATGAATTATTGAATTTGTGATAAGTGTCACTCTATAATGGAATTTTTACTGTATTAACTGATTGTAATTCCAATTAGTGGTTGACACTTTGGTTTTCTTGTTTATGACAGTGGTGTTTCCTCATTCAACCAGTTCATCCATGAGCTTTCTGTGGATGATACCTCAAGTGTAGAATACTTGTCCACAGAAGATGAGCCTGATGATGGAATATACCCTTTATCACCATCATCTCATGGGTCAAGAACCAGCAAAACAGACATTCACATCAACCACAATTCGCACTGGACAGACTGGGTGGCATACATATTTTCTTGGATTTTATTACCTGCTAGGGTTCTGCTGAGGATATCATTGCTTCTTTTTGTTTTGTTAAATAATCAGGAATCAAAGGCTTCTTCAGATACGGGGAGCCCCTTTCCTAGGACATTCCATTCCTTTAGGAAAGGACACACTTCAAAGGACTATGTTGTCCAGCGCACCATTGACAGGAGACGTGGAGTCATCGAGGTTTATATACTAGGACTTACATCTTACTTCCTTAAAGCTTAACTCCTTGTTATGAATGTGTATCAGGATCTTCATCTAGCAATTGAGATCTTCATAGAAGCTATATTTGACATGTTTCACAAGGCTACATATTATGTGTTCTCCCCATCCACAGCTTTCAGAATCTTTGGAAAATGGTTCTCATCTTCCTCTGCCGGTGATAAGGATATTGACGATGATACCTTGAATGCTTCAGTTTCCACTTCTACACTTGGAGCCAATCATCCAGCTCCTAGAGAAAGGAATATTACAATTCACCATGCTCTTAACACTGACGTGAGGACATGTCGGGATGTCATAACAGAGCTGGGGTAAGTGTGAGGTTATTTTCAGAATTTTGTTTCCTTTCTTTTCTTTAGCCACAGTAATGCTGCTTCTGTTTCTTACCCCATGTTCCTTGTTCCTGTTTTAGGTATCCATATGAAGCTATTCATGTTATTACTAATGATGGATACGTTATCCTTTTAGAAAGAATACCAAGGTATAATTATTCATTTTCTTTTCGAATTATCACTTTTGCTTGAATGCTATGGTTTTTTACGCCTCTAGTCTGATTTTGTAGACGGAATGCACGCAAGGCTGTCTTTTTACAGCATGGTATTATGGATTCATCTATGGGGTAAGTAACAACCTGCACTCTGCTTATGCACTAAATTAAGCTATATGCTTGACCCTTTTGCCAGAGCAGTTTTTTGTGGGTTTTGTTTTTTTAGTTATATTTGTCCTTTAACTGGTATTATATTTGGTATTGTTCCAATGGATTCCCAAGAGAAGTTTATTGACAACGCTGAACCATAATGCTTGATGTTGGTTTACCACAATAAACTGTTTCTTTCTGTTAATAGTATTTTGGATGATAACATTATCTGTACTTTGAAAATCCGGTTCATAAATATAATTATATTTCTAATTGAGTGAACTTTTGTTCCGGAAGTTTGATTAAAAGCTAATGTTACTAGTATCTTGGATGATAATATTATCGGTATCTTGAAAATCGGGTTCTCAACTATAATCTAATCAAGTGAACTTTTGCTCTGGTAGTTTAACTAAAAGCCACCACTTTGTTTGGAAGTACCAAGCCTTAACCCCTCGTAAATGTAATTAGCTAGACGAACTATTACTAATTCTCTTCTATCAAGAATGACAATAGTACAAGACTTGTTACATCTGAAGAATCTGTTTCTTTTTCTTCTTTTTCCTTAACCCCTATTAAATTTAATTAGCTAGACGAACTATTACTTATTCTCTTCTATCAAGAATGACAAGAGTAAAAGACTTATTACATCTGAAGAATCTGTTTCTTTTTCTTCTTTTTCCTTTTTAAATTTTGGGGGAAAGGGGGTTTTGAACCTAGCTCCTTGAGCACGCAAAATGTTGTGAACTGAATTCCCTTTTCTGCAAGAAAGAAAATACCCCTCAACCATGCTAGAACCCCTTGTTTGAATACGTAATATTGAATGATGGGAAAAAGAATGATTATTGTTCTTATTACAAAGTATATGCAGAATAGCTTACATATTTACATCCATTACTCGTGTCTCAAGTTTGAAAATGAAGATTTCCATGAACTATGACTATTGTCCCAGTATTTCTTAGGTGTTATTTTAAGTTGTAATGTCTCTAATATCCACTTTTGGTCTAATGGTTTCTTTTTAGAGGGGGAAAAAGATGTTTTGGCAATAGTTCCACTATTTTATGCATCAAAGGAATCATCAATCATTATTCTTGTGATGACATCAATAAATATTAGTACTTAGTGAGTTCTTATTTTTCTGATTTGTCACCATAGATTGGAATGAGTTGAAGAAGAGGATTTATGTACATGTCTAGCTGTTTTTAAAACTAAATATCAGATCACTGGACCAGCATTTATATGGAATATATGATCTTGCATCTATTGAGAACTTGAATGCATACATGTGACATCAATTAACATAATCCCTTCATTGTCTTCTTATTGTTATCATTGTCGAAACCTTATTATTTACTTCCCCTACTACTTGTAACTCCTTTTCCCTTTTTACTAAAATATTTCAGTTGGGGAAGTTCTCATGTGTTGATTTGTTTTCTCAGTTGGGTTTCCAATGGCGTTGTTGGTTCTCCAGCTTTTGCAGCATTTGACCAAGGTTTATTTTACGCTTGAAACTATTTGTGTCATCCATAGTAAATTGGTATAAAATTGCAGTGAATGATGTTATTGCTTGAATTACAGGCTATGACGTATTCCTTGGGAATTTTCGTGGTTTAGTCTCTAGAGAGCATGTGGATAAAAATATCTCCTTAGGACAGTAAGTAAATATATGATTCAATTGTCATTATCTTTGGTTTATTATCTCTCAGACATTTGAACTAGAAATTGAAGAAATATATATTCAACATGTCCTGTTTTCTGTCACTAATTTGATCGCTACATAGGAGCACATTCATCCATCCAAGAATTGTTTATCTATCTTTTACTTGTCACTAAACCATGCTATTTTGAGCCAGATATTGGCGATTCTCCATAAATGAGCATGGGACAGAGGATGTTCCAGCTATGATAGATAAGATTCACAAAGTTAAGACTGCTGAATTGAAACTTAGCCAACCCGATGGAGAAATAAAAGACGAGCAGCCATACAAACTTTGTGCAATCTCACATAGCATGGGTGGAGCTGCTATGCTGATGTATGTTATAATTCGCCGGATCGAAGAAAAACCTCACAGGCTCTCAAGATTGATTTTGCTTTCACCTGCAGGTTTTCATGACGAGACTAGTTTTTTCTTAACAATGGCGCATTATGTTTGTCTTCTTTTGGCCCCTATCCTGGCGCTTTTCGTGCCTGCCTTGTATATACCTACCAGGTTCTTTAGAATGCTGTTCAACAAGTTGGTCAGAGACTTCCATAACTACCCTGCCGTTGGGGGACTGGTTCAAACTATATTGAGTTATGGCTTCGGCGGAGATAGCTCAAATTGGGTTGGGGTGCTGGGATTACCTCACTATAACATGAATGACATGCCGGGTCTGTCGTTTCGTGTGGTCCACCACCTCGCACAAATAAAAAGAACGAAGAAATTTAGAATGTATGATTTCGGGAATGCAGCAGTCAATATGGAGGTGTATGGATCGCCGGAACCAATAGACTTGGGCGAGTATTATTCGCTGATAGATATTCCAGTCGATTTGCTGGCTGGGCGGAAGGACCAGATAATTAGTTCATCGATGGTTTCAAAGCACTATAGGTTGATGAAGGATGTAGGTGTAAATGTATCATACAACGAATTCGAGTACGGGCACTTAGACTTCACATTTGCCCACCATGAAGAACTCTTGGCATTCGTGATGTCAAGCCTGCTCCTTATGGTGGAGCCTGATCTGAAGCGCCACTCTAGTCAAAGGAAGGCTCTAAAGTTGAGAAAAAGGGGACAGTCTAGCCCTGAAGTCTCCTCCGAATGATTGATTGAGTACGTACAAAACCATCCATTTCCATGTGTTTTTGCTTTTGGATTCGGCATGGTATCTTGTTGTATCGGATGTTGGGACTTTGTTGTATGTGAATGAATTGCTGGATCATCAGATACATTGTTGTAATTAGTAAAACAAGTACTGAATGGGTTGACTCATTTGCTGACGTTAACATACAACTTGTGACTTTGAAGCTCGAGTTTAATATACTCTACTTCATTTAAGATAGACGAGGTTTGGACCTATTTTCAGTCATACCACGGTTTGTACGTAATCGGGGATACGGACCAGTTTTATGGCCGTCATGAGTTGGATATGAAAATTGAAGACTTTTTGTCTGGATGTTTGATGATGTCTTATCTGTACCTTACAGGCTATACATGCAAAACCTAAAACAGACAAAAGGAAGAGTTAATCATTTCTCACCTCGACCCTGAGAATGATTCACCAGTTCATAACCAGTAGAGAGAAAGCAACAAGACCAAAGAGGTTGACTGAAACTAGTTAAAGTCGAGCAATAACAGGAAATTATAGATCAAAGCAATATCATAAATGGACAAGGGTGCAAGTATAGAGTGCAAACCCCATGGAGGGTCGGTTTCTTGAGGAATGGAGAGGTAGGTTTTACATCTTCACAACATGCATTGTGTAATCACCATTTTTACCTTAGCCTCCAGCAGTTGCCAACACTTCAACAGCAGTTGTCCCTCCACGTCCACGTTCCAGCATCTTCCACCAACAGCAGCTGGTCATCCACGTTTCAGTAGCTCTCCAACAACTGCCAACACTTCAACAACAGTTGTCCCTCCACGCGCACCAACAAACAAGCAACAACACAAAAATTATCATATGTAATTTTCATTTTTTCTTTTATCTTACACATGTAAAACCAGGGTTATAAAAACCCAAAGAAAGATTGTAAGAGACAGGCAGCAGTAGATGGTAAAAAACAAGAGCAATACAAAGAAAATCAGAAACAAAAATACAGGTTCTCTTCAATTTAGTTTTTTCTTTTATTTTTCAGCTTTATATATATATATATATATTCAAAATAAAACAGCAAATATAAGAGAAAAATATAGGATTTTTACCTTGGGGTTTCGGGTACCACGTCACCGTCGAAGTCAGGTATAGCGTCGGGAGGTGAGCTTACGCGGTGGTTGAATTTTTTAGGGGCATCGGTCATATAAGAGGAAGAGAGTAAGAGATGAAAAGGGAGATAAGCCTTGGGTTTAGGCTCGTTTAAGGAGCGTTTTAGCCTTCCTCGGTTGAAGGAGTTACCGGTCGGAGTGTGAGGACCACCAAATCGGTGGCTAGCGATGGTGGGTTGTTTTGGTTGAGCGGCGCTGAAGTGAGGGGATAAGAAAAGGAGAGGAGATGAACGGGGAAGGGAAGAAGAACGTTTAAGTTTTTTTTAGGTTTTAATTTTAGTTTTTTTAGATAAATATATTAGGATTTATTTTAATTTAAAAAAATTTCTTTTCATACCCCTAAACATTTACAACATTTTTACATTTTAAACCAATAGTTTTAGGGTTAAATCACATTTAAATCCCTTATATTTCCTACGTTTTTTCGTTTTGGTCACTGATATCCTTTCTTTATTTTTATTTTTGAATTTGAGCATATTAATTTTATTTTGTTTCTATTCTAGTCATATTTACATTTTATTTTATTTTAACATTGATATTATTTTTATTTATTTATGTTTTGGTTATTGTTATATTTTATTATTTTATTTTAATGTGTTGTTTGGTTTGTTCACAATTTTGTCATTTACGTTTTATCTTATTTTAAATTTTTGATATATTGTTTTTGTTTGATTATATTTTTGTCAATGTCTAAATTATAATTTGGTTATTGCTTTTATTTTATTTTTAATATTGTCATTTATTTTTCAATACTTTAAATTTAGTATTTTAATTATTGCTCTTTATTATTTCTCTTTATTATTATTTTTATTTTATTTTAGTCATATTAATATATATTATTTGATTAATTTTATAAATTGATAATATTTATTTATTTTTTTATATCAAAGAAAGGGACAGTCTTAAAGCAACTAGATGTCCTATTCAGATATTCTTAAATAAATAAATATCCTTATTTTATAAATTATATATATTTTAAATTATTAGGAAAATGTTTTTATTTATTTATTTATCAATATTAAGAAAGGACAGTCTTAAAATAATTGGATGTTCATTTTCTGATATTTTTAAATGAATAAATAACATAATTATAATAACTTAAATACATATATATATATATATATTTACTTTACTTTTATATTTTAATATATTTTCTTAGAATTATCTTAGGATTGTAAATTAAATTCGAATTCAAATTCTTAAATTCTATTATTAGAGACAATATATAATCGACAGGTACCAATTTTGGGCGTTGTGGGGGTGCTAATCCTTCCCCAAACGTAACCGACCACAGATCCCTTTTTATTAATAAAAAGAATAAATTTTTGGTTATAAACGCATATTGGTTTATTTTTTTTTTTAAATGGTGTTTTCTTAAAAACTTTTTTAAAAGATGATTTTTAGGTATTCGACCTACCTAACCCAAAAAGGTTGATGGCGACTCTCAAAACATTTTTAATCAAAATCATTTTTATCCACATTACTTTTTCAACCAAGTAAAAAATTCGTGCACGGGCGAAAACCAGTTACGACAGCTTGGTGACTCTGCTGGGGACCGGTCAAACTTTAAAATCAATTATAAATTGTCTCTATCAATTAGAAATTAAAAATTCATATTTATTTAATTTTTAATTCTTTTCTTTCAAAATTTTTATTACTTATTATTTTCATAATATTTATATGTATATTATTTTTATTAATATTTTTATTTTATTTAAATTTCATATTATTTTGTTTGTCAGAGGGTTGAATATTTCTCCTCACACACATCACTTGCATTTGCATAAAATAAGCTTTATAATCAAGCTTGTCCCTTTTAAGTGGGAGTGAAAGCGACGTCTTCGTGAGAATTTATTCTCCGTGTCAAACCTAGCAAGTAGCTTCCGGGGTTCATATGCTCTATGTCTTCGTGAGAATTTATTCTCCGTGTCAGGCATAGGGAAATGTATCCCCTCGAATTGAACTCGATCCACTTAAGTCTGTAATGGACTAGGATTGAGGGTTTGGCAGCCCAAGGGGGCACCGACAAGGACAGTTCGAGTACCTTTACTATTAGAACTGAAACCCTACATATAATAAACCCTAGAAATTCACCTGATCTAAGACAATGTTGAACCTATGTCCATAGGTGTACACAAAGGAGAAATAAGCTCTAGCTTTTAATTTATTTTATTCTTTTTCCTGAATAAATGCATGCGAACTAGAAATCATGCAATTAGGTTAATTTTTCCAAACAAAGCATGGAACTAGAAAGCATGAGGTTAGGATTTATACCTTGATAGATAGAATTTTTTTTCTTTATATTAATTGGTACTAACCATTTCATTTTATTTTATTTTTTTTTTATTTTTTATATGTTGCTCTAATTTGTTCATATTGATTACTTTTGTTTGCATTGCATGATCATGGCATAACCAAAAGGTGTTGGCTTGAAAGACTGTTCATCCTATTGGAAAGAATTCATAAATGGACAAAAAAGCTTTATGATCAAACAAAATATGACGCATCCATTGAATGGCATCCTGAGGGAACTCCGAAGATAGAGGAGAGCTATACACCCAAAGATCGTATGCCCATTGAAGAGCAAAAGGAGATACGAGAAATAAGAGAGCAAATGTCCAAGATGATGAGTAGAATATCTGTTTTGGACAAAGGAAAAGAGATTCCTGCACAAAAAGAAAGAGAGGTCAATGAATATAACCCTATAATTTCAGATACGCAAGGGACTTCAAATCTTAACCAATTTGAGAAATTACAGACAATCATCATTCGTATTCACAAATCGTCTGGAGATACCAAAGAAATGGTGATAACTGTAAAAGCTCCCAGAGATGAGAAGAAATCATGTAATCTGAAATCGTCGAAATCTAGTTTGCTCCCGACGTTTAAAACTCAGGTTCAATCCAAGACAAAAGGCGGTTCTCATTTTGATGCTATCCCCATATCATATAAAGAGTTATATGATAAGCTACTTGAAGCGCAAGAAGTGGCTTCGTACTACATAAAACCGTTCCAACCTCCGTATCCGAATTGGTATGACATCAACGTTTATTGTGAATATCATGCCAGAGTTGTTAAACATCTCGACATGATATGGTCCAAGTTGCCTTATTCGAGATCTGATTAGATGTGAAGACATGAAAGGAATTAGGATAAATCCTCCTTGTGATGTGTTTCAAGAGTCAAATCAGAACAGACTCTACTCTCCTAATTAATCTCTGCAGAGTTTGACATATCTACATCTATACTCTTCAAAGATGATATATTCTCTTTTCAAAGATGAAAGCTTTATTGAATTTCTGCACAAGTCCAAGCAGAGAAAGTTGGTTTTATCCAAGACAAAATGGGGCATCAAGGTTATAATTTTGATTACGGCAAGAGTTCAATAAATGAAACATTTCTTCTGAGACTTAAATGAAGCAAAAAAGACATAAAGATTGCTCTTCCAAATCAGAAATGCAGTTTGAAATGACATTTTGACCAAGTGAAGAAAGACCAAGTTCACCACTTTGAAATCAAATAAAAATGAACTTAATATTCATGCATCATATTTAGGCATTTGCAAAAGGTGCATTTCCATTCATTTTATCCATGTTAAATTTTGACATGAATTTCAAAGATTTTAGCAAAGATTCAAATCCATCACAATGGATCAATATTTCCAAAGAAAGTTCAGAATGGGAAGAACTCATCTGAAGAAGGAAGAAGAAGTTCATAATGAGAAGAGCTTGTTCAACCTTTTGCTCAAATCCATCACTTGATGGATCAGCTTTTCCAGAGAAAGTTCATAATGAGATGAACTCATCTGAAGAAGGAAGAAGAAGTTCATAATGAGAAGAGCTTGTTCAACCTTTTGCTCAAATCCATCACTTGATGGATCAGCTTTTCCAGAGAAAGTTCATAATGAGATGAACTCATCTGAAGAAGGAAGAAGAAGTTCATA